TCCCATTTTCTGGTGAAGCCTCCCACATCGGTCTATGATGCCCCTATCATCTTATGAAACACTCAGACAAGCCCAACAACAAATGGATAACCCATTTTCTGGTGCGTTTCCTCATTACTGAAGGACCCATCCTCATGCTAATGATGGAAGGCCTTTAGAGAGTTCATCATATGAACTCCCTATCACATGCACTCATATTAGCTGGAGGGAATAGTAAATTACGCCCTAGTTTGATCGAGGTCAAACCAAAGTGGCTCCCACTGACTTTCATAAAGCCTGATTTCGGTGGCCCAAATCGGCTAGGGTTCCGCATGTAACCTCTCCATGGAAATGATGTGCACYCAGCCATGGTGTGCGCAAGAGCCACTATCGATTGAGCATGGGCCAAGCACTTATGGCCCATGTACGTAGCACATTACACATCCATACATCACATGCAAGGATAAATTGATCCAATCAATTAAATATCTGTAAAGCCCATTTGAAGCCCATTTTAAATCAATAATATTAACCATTAACATTATCTAGGTATATGGGCCGAATTAGGGTTAATGGGTTTGGCCCATATAGCTTCATCTTGTTAAGTGGGCTTTAGCAGTTTTAACTATTTAAAACTGGGCCTTTACAGGTTGGGCCGAATTAAGCATTCAATTAATTATCAATCCTCAGGCCCATTTTGGGAAGAATTATGGCTGACATTCAGCCTTGATCGAACCCTAGATTCGGTCCAAACAATTTGAACCAATCTTGGTTCGAATGGGTTTAGGTTTTGATCTTTAATTAAACCTTTAATTCAAGAAAATAATCTAAAATTAAATATTGATAAAAGAAAAACAAGAATCAGTCAAACAGGGCTGTTCGCACAATCCGTCCTACAAAACAGAGGTTAGATCACAATTTTCTAATTTCTATTAATAATTACATCAGATTGAATACCTATACATTCAATCTAAAAATAAAAAAACAATTATTTTACAGACCAAAAGCAATAAAATAATCCAGAAATTGCAAAATTGCAGGTTCCCTGCGCAAATCAAGATTTCGATCTCCTTTTGTACGAACAACCCATAAATCAATAAAATCATAAAGAACAATTCTAAACAATAATCATATTTATATAAAAATTAATTTCAGACTATTCACCCATAATTTTGGGAACAATTTCCCAAAACCCTTATCTGCGCAAATTGGGTAGAACGCCTTTTGCCCATTTGCGCAGGTTCAGATCTGAAAAGAATTGGTTCAAGATTTGAACCATGGCTTTGATACCACTGAAGGGATGAGAGATCCATCATATGGATGCCCAAATCTTGCGGAATAAGGAGGGCGAATTTCAAAAAAAAATTTCTCTCCCTTCAATTGGGAATCGCATTCCCTATTTAGAAAATCATATTTTCAATGATCAATCTTGAACCATGAATTGAACCAGTTCTGAACAAAAGTAGTAGGAGAGGATTATACTTGATACGGAGAAATAATATCTTCCAACGAAGGTGTTCACGCCCAAGGAAGGATCCAAAGATTGCTCCCACTGAAAATGGCGCAGTGTAGGATGGAGCAGAATCAACAGTGTTCTTCTCCAAGAACCTAGTCCTTCGCAAGAAATAGCAGGATGGCATGTGAGTAGAATCACCCACTCAGATGAATTCTCAGATTGTCCCAACATACCTAGGTTTTGACCCCAGCTAAGGATCTCACTGATTGGTACATCAAAGACAACCCAATCCGACACCTAGTGTAGTATCATAATCGAGTATAGGAGTCAGGTGTAACTTTCCAGTTTTGCCCATTAATCTCCAAGGTCCAGGGCAATACTGGAAATCTGGTCCGGTTCAAAGATTCAATTAATCCTACTCTGCATGTGCCTAGGGTCTCACCCTGGCGGCTGAGACAGGCCACCCCAACCAACTTGGTGGCGCATCAGTGTCAGCCTTATCAGGATAGGTCTCCCCAGACCGACCCACTGGCTGTGAACATTCTAAACTAACACGAGTCTCATTATGTGTCCAGTTTATGGGGATTACATAGAAACACACCAAAGGAACATGAATCAAATATGTACTTTATTCATTTACAATAAACTCATAATGTACATCATTCTGATTGAAGCAAAGAGCATACAAAAACTGTCTAACATTATCCATCAATGGCATTCAAAGTGAGGGGAATGTGAAGAAGAAATTTACCTTTTTAAGAGTCCCAACAATCATTAAACAATGAGATCCAAGAATACCCAAGAGGAAGTAAAAGCCTCATGATGCATTTCCATACTTGCTAGCCAATCCACTTTGCCATTTGCTATGATATTACAAGAGCACACATCTTGTTTTTTTGTTTTTCTTTTGTTTTCTTTTGAATGACCCAAAAATGACTTGAATACCTTGGAAGGCTCTTGGGAAGAGAGACAATCCACATGAAATAAATGCTCATAGCAACAACATACATACCCTTTATTACTTTTGTTCTATCATGCAAGACATGTTCCAAGAGACCAATATTAAAAACAAAGGGGAAAGCATTTTATTCGTAAAAGGAAAGGATGACAATCATAGCATGAAACATAAGCATGAGTCTACCACAACTTCAAAGAAACCATTATATGAAAAATAAAGAAACAAAGATGCTAACATTGAAATGTGCAACCAAACTTCTTGAGCTAAATGACAATCCCAAAGACTTAACCTAAAGTTATGCATGCTAGCAAAATAGAAAGAAAAAAAAAACAAAGAGACAAGAGAACTATCTTATTTGTTGCAATGAGACAAGATAAAGTAATCAAAATGCAACATGTAAGTAAAAGACTAGCAAAACAAAGCTAACTTTATTCAAAAGGAATAAACAACTTGGGTACCCCATGTGGGTCCCACCTATGGTCCAAGAACTTCCGCAGTGGAGTCGCCAGTCTATGAGTGTCAAAAAATGGCTCACTTGTCACTTGGGCGGGAAATGGAGTCGCCACTCATCAAGTAAATGAAAAAGGAGGTGACAGGACCTCTGGGATTTACATCGAAAAGCACTTTTTGTCCAATAGTGACTCCAAAGCCTGAGGCACCAGCTAACCAGTCTAGGTAAGACTTGGATGGGAGAGGAAAGGGGTTAGGCACCCCTCTCCCGGGTCCAATAGTTGGTGCCCACATGGCGATCCCAAACTAGGATAAACACAATAAAGATGATTATTCGATGAATCAAAACCAATAAATAACAAAGCAACACAAGAGAAACAACATGATCACATTTTTATATTATCTCTTTTATTATTTTATTTATTTATTTATTATGCTTATTATATTTATATATTCTTTTTTGGTTTATTTACTTATTTACATTTTTTCCACTTATCCCTTTCTCCTTTTTTATTCATTTTTTTATTATATTTTTTATATTTAATAACCCAATCTCTTCCTTGCTGCCTTAGAAAATCTGAATCAACTAAGCCAATTTCCTTCATTTCAATCTTTTCCATTTGGTCCACTCCTTTTATTTCCCCCTTTTCTTTTTTTTCTTTTCCTTTTTTTATATGACCTTTATTTCATAGCTTAGGATTTTACCTTCGCCAATACTAGTTATTTCTTCTGTTATTTTCTTTTATTCCATATCTATACTACTTTCTGCTAACACCCCCTTCGATTTAAACCCTTCTCGCATTGTTGTCACTCTTCCAAACTAAACGAAGACTTTCAATCTCTAAACTTCATCCATTTTCTTCTTTCTCTACCACCTTACTCATGAGTATGTTTATTCCCTTAGGAATTTTACTTATCAGCAGGATATTTATTTACAAAAGAAAACTCAAACAAGATAGTAAAACCTAGGCTAACAGGAGGACTTTATTCAACATAATATGAGAGACATTAACAGTAGAAAAATACAAATCGACAGAACATTACAAGAAGATTCAAACATCAGATGACAGAGCCATACTAACTTTTAAACAAAAAATGGATTGGGATAATTAATTGAACTATGCTAATAGCTATTGCATTGATTTGCCTAGCATGATAGAATTAATTTCAGGGGTAGAATAGAAGACTATCGATGGTGATGAAGAAAAATGGCAAGAACAAGAGGAAAACCCCAAATTTATCACATGATTCATGAATAAAAATCATCTTATTCCTCAATCAAAGAGAATTGAAATCCTAAGCCTAACCTGTGATGGTACGAGAGGTACCTAGGCTGAACCAAACCAACCCCTCTACTCCCAACTGCAGATGCCGATAAAATGTCAGGAAGAAAATCAAAATACATGGAAAGGGGAAGAAATTACCTCATACGAATGTGGAGTAAGAACTATCTGCACAGGAATACCTGCGATGCTTAAGTTGTAGAGGAGAAATGAATGGTGACTGATCGAACTAGATATTGGTGAATGACTATGATCGGATCTTGGATCTCTGCTTTAATCAATTTGAAAAGTTGCCACCACCTCTGTTTAGTGTTGAGATGTGGGTGAAGAATGGACAGTGCCTTCGAATGGGAAGAAGAGGAACAATCGATCTTCGAATTTGGCCCCTCTTCTATTTATTTCATGGGAGAATAGGGAATAGAAAGAGTTGAGAGAGAGGGAGTGAAGAATGCTGCCACTGCTAGGAATTGCAGTGGCAGTTCGGGTGGAACGACAGTGGTAGGGAAGAAAGGGGGTGACAATCAGTGGAACAGTGAAGAAGAAGAAGAAGAAGAAGAAAGAAAGAAAGCAAGAAAGAAAGAAGGAGAAGAAGAGGAGGAGAGGAGAAAGTGGTCGGAAGTGGGAGATCGGCTTTGGGTTCGCCGCAGCTGCTATTCAGTGACCAAGGGAGGAAGACGGGCTACAGTAAAATCATCTCCCTCTCTGCTTTGGGCAAAGATGAAGGGGTCGATGTTTTTTAAATGGCGCCAGGGGGTGTTTTTGTAAGTTCTAGGAAATTCAAGGGTATTTTGGTAATTTTTGACAAGTTGAGATAAACCAGATCCATAGGTTGAATCAAGTTCTTGGGTCAATGATGGGTGGTTCTGGGTCAAAATGTGGAGGGTTGAGATGGGTCTGACTACAAATGGGGGTTTGTGTCTATGGGCTAACGAGATTGACCGAAACAGAATCTTTTTAGATGGAAGGGTAAATGAGGATATTTTGGCTGAAATTTCATAGGGTAGGGTATTTGGGTAGTCTGAGGTGATTGGTGGGGTCAGATTGGGAAACTGGACCTGGATTTGACAGATCTAGAATCTGGTCAATTTGGGACCTTGAAATGAAATCTTGGTGCAATTGAAAGGTAAACAGAGGTGTTTTGGGCCGAGATTTCACAGGTGAGTGTTTTGATGTGTTTGGAGTTTAATGAAGTGGTTCGATCAGTTCGGATGTGTCAAGATCAAGGGAATCTGGGTTTTTAGTGTTTAGGCTAATGAGAGGCATCGAAATGGAATCTTCGCTTAACAAAGAGCGGAACGGGGGAATTTTGGGTTGATATTTCAAGGGTAGGTGTCTTGGGAGCTTCTGAGTTGAGCCAAATTTGAGCCTCATGTTTTTCTACTAAGCCAAGCTCAAATGGTTAAATAATTGCCTTGGCCCAGCTTGAATCCACCCTTACACCCTAGTATGGCCACGTCCTGGCAACAAGGCACACATCGGAAATATTTCCCCATAAATTACAACATATGGTTTTGAAACAAGTCCTTGTAAGCATGGTATTTCATGTGAAATATGATATATATTGAACACAAAACACTAGACACATCCTAGACACAAGACACTATAGTCACACATCCAACCATGAATTATAACATAATGCATCAAATATGTCCTGAAGTTGTAGGGTCTTGTGGTTAGCATATCAAGATTTGTACTTGTCCCTACTTAAACCCGACAGAATTTTTATATTTTTTATGAAACTAGCAGAAGGGCATGTGTAAATATTTAATTTTGAAAGAATGTAGATGAATATCACATGCTCCTTTTAGACCTTTGATCTTTCTCAAGGTGGTTTAGAGACTAAAATATATGTAATGTAGATGAATCTCATAAAACTTTGATATATGGTGGTTTAGTGACTAAAATAGATGGAAAGTCTATGCATTTTAGTTGCATCGGAGTCAAAATTCCTATGAATATCGAACAAGTCATGTTCCTTGGGATTTTCAATGCAGGCAAGGTCTTGCTAGCAGTTTTCCATCCATAAATAAGGGTTCCACAGGACACAATCTATCCAACTGCATGGGAAAAGGAATTATAATTGGAGACTGATGTTGTCTGATCTAAGGTGTACCGAATTGAGCATGCAACAGATAATCCTGCCAACTGAACAAAGCCAAGGTGGAAGGACGGGATTATGCATCGAGGAGATTTGCAAGAAGAAGAGTCAAAGGCTGAGGATGAGGTTCGTGGGAAAGCACTTCAATGCTAAAGTTAGTAATAGGGCGAGAAGTTACCAAGCTGTAGAGGGCGAGATGATCCATGCCAAGGAGAATAGTAAGAGAGTAAGAGGGATAGAGAGTCTAGATAGTTGAAGATCCTTTGCTGTTAGGGGGATGCCTTTAAATAGGTGAGTGTCCATGTTGTAATCAGATATGTTCCTTGTGGGGTTAATGGGATGAGGCTGCCCACCGAGGTTTTCAAGAGGCTCCGTCTTCCCTGACGAAAGCACTTATCCTTAGGGGGCGGTGCTTATCCTTGTTTATGCGGGACTCCACTTCTCTCCGAGGTCTTCGGGGATGTAGTTATCCACACTTGTAGGTGAGCAGCACACTAACGTGGTCCGAGTGTCGCAGCCATGGAGGCACCCATGTGGCAACTTCGGCCAGCTAGGGCACTACCCGAACAAAGACTAATTAATAGATCTTTTTGGAGATTTCTACATTAATAGTTTGGAACATAGATTAATAGTGGTGACAACTAGGTTATGCTCTTTGATATTTTTGGCAAAGCAAAATGTGCACTCTAATGTCAAAGTTAATCTTAGAGGAGCAATCTTCCTTACTTCCTTAAGGGGAGGAGTATTTTTGTCTCCATTGCTTTTGCTTTAGTTCAAGAATTGGTCCATGACTTAGATAGGAGAGACTATGGGGGGAAATGTGATGCTGAAGCTAGGCATGGCTAAAGCCTATGGCAAGCTGTAGTAAAATTTCTTATTTTCGGTGTTGGACAGGTTTGGTTTCTCTAACACTTTGATTGATCTTGTTCGAAGAATGATAACTAATTGCTGGTTCTCTATGGTCATTTATGGCTCTCCTATTAGCTTTTTCAAGTCTACATGTGGTCTAAGGTAGTGAAACAATTTTTGTTGAAGATGTTTTCAGTAGAGGCCTTAAATTATTGTTGGAATCTAAGGGAAGAGATAATTATTTGATTCCCAAGAGTGTCACCCTTATCTCTCATACTCTATATGCAAATCGGTAAATGATGTCATCATTTTTCTCAGCATTGGAAATTAGTATGTAATATGGTTGTAATAAAGATCAAACTGATCCAAAGAAACTAGTTCCAAATTGCAAGAAAATATATATAGAAAATTAATTAGAAATAAATGGAAAACTTGTAGGTTAATAGTTGAGTTGCAACAAGTGTATGCTCTCCTTAAAACTGATTTTCCACCTCTTAGAGTATTTCCATTGGTGCAGAAGGTTTTCAGCAGTTGACCTCCAGGATACACCATCTCTCAGCCTTGGCATTGTCTGCACTCACAACCCAAAGCAACGAACCAGTTTGTTACATATGCCGAACACAATTCAACAGTGATGAAAACCATTTGGGAGAGAGCAAGAACTCAAAGAAGATAAGCCAATTTTTAGTATACAAAAATTATGGTTACCTTGGAAATTGAGCAAGCCTATTGCCACAACAAACATGTTTCCCACTAACATTGGGAGTTCTGAAAGAATGGTAAGATCCATCATATGGACGCCAAAAGGGTGCAGAATGGGTGGGCGAATTTCAAAAAATTTCTTACCTTTCTTTCAACTGGGAATCATATTCCCTAATTTTAGAATACAATATTCAAGGATCTGACTTGAATCAAAACCGAACCAGATCTAAACCAAAAGAGAAGGGAAGGGATATACCTGATCTGGAGAAACAATATCTTCCAATGTCGGTGTTCACGCCCAAAGAAACTCCCAAGAACTGCTCCCACTGAAGATGACACATTAATAGTGAAGCAGAACCAGCAGTGTTCGTCCCACGAACCAGGTCCTTCTGAAGAACTCGATGGAAGCAATGAGCACCACACACGATCAACCTTTCAACAAATATTGATATCAAGAACCTTTCTTGATCTTTCCCTCACAGAGAAAACGAATTGGCAGTAGATGGCGGCGGCTGCTGGAGGAGAGAGCTAAAGCAGAAGGTGGCGAATAGCTTTCTTCTCTCTAGGGTTTTCTCTGAGATCCTATCTCAGGATGCAGTGTGTTTTGCGAATACCCTTAAGGTTTGAATTCTTGTAATTCGAAATTAGGGTTTTCTCCTCTTTACTTAGTGATTAACAAACCTCCTAATCTCTTTAGGAGTTATCCTAAACCAAATATGTATTTGGATAAGGAGTCTTCTTAATTCTATCTGCAGATTAGATCAGCCCACTCCTGATCTTATCAGGAGGTTACCAGATTCAAATCCTAATTTGAATTTGGTCTCCATGAGTGGATAGGGTTAAGACCCAATCCTTTTGGCTTGACCTAACCTCAGAAGTGACTGATCAAATTAGCCTAGTTAGAAATGGGCTTTAGGCCCAATATGCATCAAGTGCTCAATAGGCTTCCAAACTGCTGCCCAGTTGGGCTTCTTTGTATGGCGTGGGACCGAAGCATTGATCTACACATCAGCCACATGGGTTCGGCCCAGCCTCTGTTACAAGCCCTAGCCGAATTCACTAGAAATCCCAGTGAACCCCTTGAGCCCATCACATGGATCCTTGGGCCCAACACTTACACTAAGTGGTCCCTGGGCCAAGCCATCTTATAAAAACCAAGGGACTGTGGGCAGATGCAAGATTAGCCCATCAGGTATAACCCTAAATGGCCTTATACTTAACCTCTCAGCCCATAATGATCCAAAACACTATCCAACAAGAGAGGACCTCTCCCTCGACTGCAAGGCACAGTGTTGCACTCTCCTCTAGGATGGACCCCGGGGATTAAAACCTTTTGCAAACGAGTTGAAACCGTACATATATATTATATCATTATAAATATATTTTGCAAAACAAAATTCCAACGGTTAAAATCAACTGCCGACAGTTTTGGTTTCCATCAGAGAGAATGCATCCCCGATCATTACCTTTGTCCGACAAAGGGGCTGATCTTGTCACTATGATCACCCACTCAGATGGGTTCATGAACCATCCCAACATACCCAGGTTTTGACCCCCTCTAAGGATCTCACTCAGATGGGTTCATGAACCAATCCGCCACCTAGTGCAGTATAATAGTCGAGTATAGGGGTCAGGTGTAACTTTCTAGTTTTGCCCACTCATCTCCAAGGTCCAGGGCAATACTAGAAATCTGGTCCAGTTCAAGGTTTCAAGTTGAACCCTCACTACATGTACCTCGAGTCTCACCCTGGCAGCTAAGACAAGCCTCCCAAACCAACTTGGTGGCACATCAGTGTCAGCCTTATCAGGATAGGTCTCCCCTGACCGACCCACTGGCTGTGAACATTYTAAACTAACACGAGTCTCATTAAGTGTCCAGTTTAAGGGTCTTACACAGAAATATACCACACAACATGAATCAAACATGCACTTTATTCATTTGCACTAAATGTCTAAAGTACATCAAAACTGATTGGAGTTAAGGGCATACAAACTGTCTAACAAGTTCTCCCATGATTAGGAGAGTGCAACGGTTATAAATAAAT